TCAAAATAAAATATAAATAACATAAATCTGCACTTTCACCTAGATGAAAGTAGCTAAGGGTTGGGCCCAGGGTGTGAGTCAGATTCTCTAACACCCTGCTAATGGAGGTTATATATATATACACTTTTAATATTCCTTCCTTTATTGGGCCTACCTGGGAAAAAGCACACTATAAATTATTGTTCCCAGAAGGTATGCATTAGTTAGTAAGCACTGTAAAAGATGTATGAGTTTGAACTCTCACAATCTTCAATATCCTAACAGCTTCATCTGATCTATGTATCAACCTACAAACCACCAGCAAAAGAAACAGCAAACTAACGTCAGCACCGGGCAGGCTTCAGGCTTCATGCCACCATGCTCACAGGCACTCAGACACCGCTTCACTCAGGATGGAGAAAGGTAACAGAGTGACACTCACAAATAGTTCTGCTAGTGTTTCTGTCCAAGGCTGAAGTTTTTACTTCTTCAAGTTCTAGATTAAAAAGGAAATAAAAAATACTTCAGAAATTGTTTTCTGTAGGAATTCTTATATACTAACACATCTTCTGGGCATTGAACTAAGTCACAAGGTGTTTGCTTATAAGATAATGAAAACTACTGTGCCATTCCAATATTCATCAGTGCAATCACCAGTAAAGAAACAGCCTGTGCCGGTTACTTATAGATTCCCAATGAAACAGGTTTCTGTGGTCAAGAGTGTGGAGAAACCCACAAACTTATACTGTCATCATAGAAACTCGCAGCACAACCAGCTCAGTGGACAAGCTCTAGAATTCTAGAGGATGAAAACTTCCTGACCCTTAATTCTCACCAATAAGATAAACTTATAAGGAGTAACAGCTCTTAGCATTCCACACAGCACAGGTGTGCTTGCTAGTGCAGATGTTTAAGTGCCACAGGCCAGGAAACCAGATAAATACAATAGGATCACATATTAAAGTTAAGAGTCGCGAAAAAAAAAAAAAAACTAGCTCAATTAAGTGGACAAATTTGGTGGCCAGGCTACTCAGATGTTCTGAAAACACACCACCTGGAGCTAATGTAAGGTTTAGTGCAAGCAAAGCTTACAGACCATGGAAAAGCATCCACAGAATTTATGCTTTGCTTTGTTTCTACCTTAAACAGTAAACAGTTCTACCTATTTGTAAATCCAGAAACTTAATCCTGTGCTATACGGAGATTAGATAACCTTTAAGAATTCTTAAAATTTCAAAACTCAGCCTTGGTGTGCTAGAACTCACTAGTATCTGTGGTGATATCCTGAGCAACAGACAGTATAATCCAAACCCCAAACAGCTAATAATTATTAAGTACCCACATGTGACATCCTAATTCTAGGCTAGATTTAATTATCCTTTAAACCCTCTCTGAAACAGCACCATGCACATTTTACAGATGAGACTGAGCCTCACAGAGGTGCAATAACTTATGCCCCATCTTGAGAAGAGGAGAGATGTGGTGCCAACCCAGGCCCACGTGACCCCCCAAAGTGAAGCTCCTGCAGAAGCCACCTTCACTGAGCAAATGCTTAGCTCCCAGCTGTCATGGGTTGGCCCTTGTGGGGTTTAGCTCCCTTCTCTACTTCTTGGCCACACAGGCTCCACCTCACACTCCTAATGGAAACACTCAAGCAGTTCTACAGAGCTGAGAACCACAGGCTGAGTGGGGCTGAAGGAGATCCTGGCTACACACTATCCGGGGCCACCCCAGAATCTCATCTACTAGTGTGCTTTCTTTGTCTCACAACTGTAATAAAGACTGGCCACAATTAAGTCTGTAAACAAACAACACAATCTTCTGTGGACCTCTTATTTACGCGACACGCATTTTGTTAAATAAATTCCTTACTTTTGTAGCACATTTTCCTCCGTTTAAAATTTAAAACTGTAAAATTTTTTGAAGAGTTGACTGTCAGGTTGAGCTGCATTAGTATCATAACTTCAGAGTCTACTTTGCCGGTACAGGAAAGCTCGACCCGAAACACTGTTCAAAAGAAGTAAGAGAAAATATTTTAGTGTGCTAAACATCAGGATAATGCCCCAACAGTACCATCCAACGTTTTATTTCTGCTCTCAAATAAAACAATCGAATACATTTACATAAGTGGACCAGACAGAAGCTTTCCGAGACTGAATCACCACAGCTCTGGACATTTCTATTTCCTTCACTGTAGACACAGAAGAGGGCTGAGGAGGAAAGCAGGCTTAGATGAAGGGACAATCACTTTCAAGCCTTGCCTGTGATTCTGAACATGCTAGTTTGTCTTATACGTTCTGCTTTCCAATATACTGATGCTACCGAATCACAGGGCAAACCCTGCTGACCTTATCAGTCTCACTAGCAACAGTAACAGAATCACACAGTAAAAGGGAAGACTATGCAGTACCAAGTGCAATTATATACTGCTCCTAGCATTTGGAGGATGCATTGCTATCTGCAGGGCAGACATGAGATGCCCCAAATAAAACATGTCATCACCATACTCCTAGAGCAGGGGCACCCTTTCCTGTTGTCTGGTTAACAAAATGGGGGGAAACCAAAGCTACACTGAACTGGGTGGCCTGAGAGTTCCTATTGGACTTAGAGCTATGACATATAGATGTGCAAATATATACATTAGCACACCTCAATGACTTTGTAAGAGCATGTTTGGAAGTACTCTCTGTGGAAAATGGGTATGTGTACTTAGTAATCATATTTAAAAATTGTCTTATCCAGTAAGTACTCCTAAGAAATAATGACATTGCTACTGGGGTAAATTATAATAAACCTTTATATGAAATTATAATAAACCTATAAATTATAATAAACCTATAAATGAAACAGACAAATTCTTGATATGAATTAAAACCACTGCCCTTCTAAATAGGATTAGCTTTAAAAAGTATTTCTAGTGACATTAAGGATGAAAAAGTAGATTTTAGTAACTTTTTTATCTTTCAGCTTAAGATTCCTTTCTTACAACTTGAGAAAATATTATTTCACCATCTATATGAGTGGATCAGAGATTTAGGCATTTCTGAACATCCTTGCTGACAAACAAAAATTAACCCACCTTCCAGCACTGTCTTAAAGCCTAGATGAACATGTGCCACTAAGAATGAGGGAATAAGTGAATTCAGTAAGTGACTAAAACTGCCAGGAAAAGCTCTACTTATGCTTCCTTTAAAGTAATAACAACAACAACAATAATCCATCTTAAAATCTCCCACGTCCCAGAGCCTTCCTGTGTTGCTCAGTTTTCATCAGCTTGATACAAACTGGGACTGGAACTTCCAACTGAGGAACTGCCTCCATCAGACTGGCCAGGCTCAGCTGTGGGGCATTTTCTTAATTAATGATTGACATGAGAAGGCCTAGCACTGCAAGACGTGCCAGCCATGGGCAGGTGGTCCTTGGGTTGTATTAGAAAGCAAACTGAGTAAGCCATGGAGAGCAAGCCAGCAAACAACACTCCTCCATGATCTCTGCTTCATTTCCTCCTCCAGGTTGTTGCTTTGAGTTCCTGCCTTGACTTCCCTCAAGAATGGACTCCAGAAAGCTGAAATCAACCCTTTCCTCCCCAAGTGGTATTTATGACAGCAACCGCGAAACCCACCCAGGACATCTTTCAAAGGGTCTGCTTATAAGTTGTGACAGTGGTGGAAATAAAACATTCAGTCCATTTAGTCAGACACATACTGAGCGCCTATTGCATACCAACTGCTGTACAAGGAATCACCAGATATTGTAATAAGTTTATTAATAGTCACATGCAAGTTGGTATGGGCAGGAAGCACAAAGGAGTTAACAACTGGCAATGGAACAGGAAAAGGATGGTGTAGACTTTGCATCTTATAGAATGGATAGGTGGGAATCCCAAGCAGAAATAAGGGAAAGACAGTTCCAAATTGAGACCAGCATGTACAAAGGCCTGGGTGTGAAAATTATACACAAACTGGAACTGCTGCAATGCTGGGGCGTGTGCAAAGGCCTGGGTATAAGAACTGAACACAGACTGGATTCCTGGGGTGCTGGAACATGGGCAGTGGCCAGGGGCAGTTATTAATGGACACAGGAAAAGCTGAGAAGTCTGCAATGAGCCAGCTGACTGGAGCAGGAGGCACTGAAGGACTTGATGCCCTGTGGTCAGATGCAAATGTACAGTGGCCACCCTAAGCCAATGGTATCAGGTAGGACTTAAACCAAAGGGAGTTAAGAGCAAAGGCAGGGACATGCAGGAGATGCCAGCAACACAGAAAAGGAGCCAAGGAGGAGCTAAGCAAAGACAGTTCTACAAAGACCTAACAGGACTCATTAAAAGTACTTTTCAAAGACAGGCACTCAGTAAACCGTCCCTGTAGGGCTATGAGGGAGACAGCTGAAAGCAGCATGCTAAGTCTGTCTTCACTGGCTCACCTGATAAAGTGCGTGGGACTTCCCCTTGAGCAGAAATATTGACCTGGGGCATGCCCATAGCCACAAAATTGTCTACTTGGAATCCCAGCTTATATTCAACCTGTAAAATGAAGAGAGATAAAAGCATTGGACCTGTGACAACAGAAAGGATTTCGTTAATGAGCTCATTAATTAAGCAGTACATGAGCTATTCGCAGGTGCAAACAATCCCACTACCAAAAATTTCCAAAGAGCAAGACGCTAATCCCAGCACTCACAGGCAGAGGAAGGCAGACTCCGAGAGTTTGAGGCCAACTTGGCCTATAGTGAGTTCCAGGACAGCCAGAACTACAAAGTGAGAACCTTTCTCAAGAAAATAAATAAAAATAATAAAACTAAAATCATTCTAGGAATTTTCAACCAGAAAAAAATTCAACCAAAGGCTATTTAGGATATAGAAGAGGACCACCCTTTCACTAAAACCGGCCAGCCTTCCTGACAACAATGATATAGCCAATGATTTACCCTGGAGAGGAAGCATTCACTCTCTTCAACTCACCACAACACCCTGACTTCCACCAAGGGGTGCTAGAGAGCTATCTCTATGGTACCCTCAGGCTTGCCAACAATAAAACATCAAGAGGATGACCGTATAGTTATGGCAGAGTTATCTCGGAATAGGACCATAAAGCCAGGGAAGGCACATGAAGGAAATTAGCATGGCTCTAGGATCTTGAAGCCATGTGACCTACACAAATAAGCAACTTTTCCAAGCTTCAGCATTTAGGAAATGAAGATCATTCAACACGAGGAGCAAATGTGTTGACCACACGGCACATCTATGACAATGACTCCGGGCCCCTTGCTAACTGTAGACATGGAGGCCTCAGAAGCTCACCAGCCTCCTGCCAACCCCAGGGACTCCCACACAGACCTCCTGTGCTGTCAACACTGCAGCATGCCTTTTTGTTCCCATGTAAGAAACCTCAGGGTTCTCACAGCCTCTCAACCTCTTCACAGCCATCTTCCTCCTGTTCTCCCTCACCTTCACTTTCCCTTCAGGCATCCTCTTCTTCTTCCTGGTGTCCATTTTCTACACCTGACCACTGGGTCTACATGTGGGGTCAGGAGCCGTTTAAGGCTCTAAGGTCATCTCCAGATGTGCTGTGAAATCACGCCCCCACATACACTCTGAAGCTCACTTCCACCCACGCCATCCACACACTAGCGTGACGCTAACAGGACTGACTACAGAGCTTTTGACTGCTAGCTCACTCTGTCCCCTGCCACCTTTCTGTTAACTTTGAAATGCAGTCTTCTTTCTGACATACCACTCAATTTCTCCATGTCCGAAACAGATACAAAAATACTGTCCATTCCATCCAAGGTCCCAGCACTACCTCTGACCACCCACCTCTGGTCCCTACAAAAGCAGTTCTTTGTGTTCACTGCTTTAAGTCAGACAACATTTATGAGGCATGTTTATGAGCCATGGGTTGTGCTTGCAGAAGGGGAAGGCAGTGGTCAATTAAACTACTTCCTTCCTTCCCGGCACAGCCAGGACCACTCGGTTTCATGTTCCCACAGCCTGTGCCCCAGCACGGACATCACTGACACAGTCATTTTAACACCTTCAGCTGGTTCTCTCCTTGTTCCTCGGCTCAGCTTGCTGGGGGATATCCTGGAGAACTGTGTTTACACATGACGAGAACCCACCCCCAAGTCCTGCTCAATGGCTGCTCTTCTTCAACCTCACTGACACTCTTACTGATGTACCACATGCTACCTTCTCCTTCTTCACTTTCAGCCAGCACAGAGGACTCTTTTTTTTTTTTGTCCTTTCCAGCATCAGGCAGACCTGTCAGAACTCTGCACTCTGGTTCCAAGGAAAGCTCCAGCCTCCTCATCAGAGGATAAACCCTTCTCCCATACACTAGGCTCCAACCCATTTCGCCACAAATGAGATCTCAACTTGTCTCTCACTCTCCTTTTCCTCCAACCGTCTACTGGGCATATCCACCTTGCAACCCTACAGCCTCAAATCCAAAATCCAGAGTTGCGCTTCCCCTTTTACCAAACTCACAAAGTTTCTACAGAACGCCATGCTGGAATCCAGCCTCAGGCCATTATCTGTAGCAGTCTCCTCTTAGAGATACAGACAGGCACCTTCCTGAGACACTGTGGGTTCCTAGCTAAAACACACTCTGGGGCCAGGATCTCTCACTTGAGCAGTTAATTACCTGGTGCCACAAGCTGCTCCCCACTCCCTTCGCTGCCTCCTGCCTGGGAATCAGAGAAGCTGACTATAGGTGTATGCTCTGGAACTCACTCTGTCCTCAGATATAAAAACAAGACCCCACCTTTATCACATGGGCTCTGATGCCTCTCTTCAGAGACCCTGCCATGCTGTCAGTCTCTGGGACTAGGGCCTGAACTCTCCTTGAGGCCCCTACCAGACTGTTGCCTCTGTCTGTCCATGACATTAATAGCTTTTCTAGAAACTCAGCAATCCCCTGCAGTGTCCATCTTGAACAACCCAAAAAAAACCTTTCAGTCTCCTTTATTAAAAGTCTCAGTTATAAGCAGAGGAATAGCTGCCCAGGGACCAAAACACCTAGGAAAGCAAAGACTGGGCACAGCCACGGAGTCGAAGGGCCCTAGTGGCAGAGCTGAGAGCAAGGGGCATCTCAGTGTAGCCACAGGGAGAGGGAGAAAGAGAAAAGAAAGGAGGAGCAGAGGTGAGAGGCTGAGGAGAGCAATAAGACAATCAACGGTGGCTTAGAGGAACCACAGGAGGATGCATGGAAGCCGACCCTTTGTCTACCACTTCTGACAGGCTGAATGAACCCGGGGAGCATCACAAGGCAGCTCTCTCCTCCCACTGGGGTCCTTAGGGCACCTAATTTTTAAATGTAGTTTTTGGAGTCAGAGAAGACTGCCAATTATTGAAATCCAATTTTCTCTACCTTGGCAAGCACTAATCTGTAAGGAACATCACTTGTCAATCACCTTTGAAGAAACAGATCTATTTAGAAACTATATCACAGACTACCAAACAAAATACTCTGAACAGCAGTTGTTTATCAGAAAAATAAATGAGCCAAAATACTTCAGAAAAGTTACTAGAGAAACTATAAATATTTGAGTAAGCTAAAAAATAAACATGTTTGGTATTTTTCCCTTACTTGGAACACATGGCTATGTGACTAGGCAGATGATGAGTAAAGCTGTCTCCTTCTGGAACACAGATCTAAAGTGAATGTGCTTGCCTACGGTCCAACAGCCTTTTAATTCCTCTCAAGTTGCCAGAACTGCCTTTCTCACAGCTACTTCACTCTCCTGGGACCCAGCAGGCCGGCCCCCAGAGGCTGCTGCTGGAGCTCTGACAAGCTCCCTGCACACTCTCCTGGACTGAGACCAAGGAGAGTGGGTGGTGGCGTCTTCTGCCACATCTTCATGTGTTTCTGCCTTCTGGCGCTCGAGCGTATCTACTGACACGTAACAGGCACAGTTCATGTTTTTTCTTGAACACTGGGGAATTTTCTGGAACATACAAGAAACTAATTATCTGTTAAGACTGCCTAGTAGTCTATTCTTGTGAGAGAATTAATACCAGAGCTCTACTCCCATCTTAAAATACAATTAACACAGTCTCTACCACTCACTAAGGCACGCGTGACACAGATGTTACGAAAAAGACACACACAGCTCCAGCCTCTGAGGAACTAAATCTTTGGCAAGACCAGTCAAGTAAACACTACCACCAAAAGCTTTGATGTGGACAACTGATGTTAAAGCATCTGTACTGTTCTGGGAGTCTGGGGATCCTCAGAAGCAAGTATTTCATCTTCTGGCAAGATCTTAATAAGTCCAAATGGAGAGTTTCTGATAGAGTATCAGAAATTGAGAGTGACAGCCTTCCTTCTGAAAGTTTATGACTGCATCTCAGAGCCAAATGATCAAGAGACCCCATCACCATAGCACATTGTCCTCTTGGGTGACTCTGCCACTTCAGGTCACCTCTAGTTCCTGCTTCTTCTGCCTCCAAACTCACTTGAGCAAGTCCTTCACAAACTTGGTTCCCAGTTTCCTCTGGCAGGAAATGATCAATAAATCAAAGCACAGCTATACAAGAAAATATGATAAAAGTTATTTGAAGGGGGAAAACACACAAATCAATACGAAGGAACAGAGGACCTTTACCAGGACACATTGCTCAGAACTCTGCACTACACAAAAGCATGAAGCATTTAAGTGTACATATGCACACTACACAC